TACACTGTATCCTATACACTCCAGGATCAGTGCTGGTGGTAGTGACTGTAGTGTGAATGGGTTCATTACCTTTACCAACTGGTACTAGACTACACCTCAGAGAAGAGACGGGAACACATAAAACAGATGAATCTGGTGCCTCCATTGATAGTGAAAATGAAACTGCTTTGCCAGCAGGTGTAATATGATCAATCTTCTTCACTCTACACTGCTGTAGTGAGACAATATCTCCAATGTGATGTAGCAATTTGATATCTTTATTCAATACAAAGTCGGCCTTTTCCTTTGGATGTAACTCCTCCACATTGATATCTGCAGTAACTTCACTCATACGCTCCATCATCTGTTTCTTAGACCTAAGGACTTGTTGAGGACTGCCTGTCTTCAGACTCTGTTCCACATAATCCTCAACATCCTCCAGAACACTCAAACTCATTTCTGCTGATTTCATTTGCTCTGACAGCACCTTTAGTTTATCATCAGTGACCCTCTTTGCCTGCTCAGTCAGTTTCCTCTCTGACTCACGAAGAGCATTCATCATTTCCTCTACCATTTCATGTATTTCTTCTAAGACTCCTTCTCCTCTCTCTCTGATCTCACCCTCTCTCTCTGCTAGAGCAGACAGGACCTTCTTGAGTCCTTCAATTTTCCCTTTTACCGGATTAAGAGAACCTTCCAATTCTTGACAGTGTTTAGTATAACTGGCAGAGACTAAGTCATACTCATGGTCTTTATGAGTACGGACTGTACAGTCACGACATATAACACTATCACAAGTTTCACAGTAGAGCTTCATTTTCTTTTTATGAGTGGAGCAAGTGAGGGTTGCCTCCTGTTTAGCTGGAGCTAGCAATTGAGAAGTAGAAGAGACATCAGAGGCTGTCACCTCATCAAGACTTGTTAGCTGATGGTTAGAAGTTGGACCCCATTTCTTGTGTACTCCATCACATTCTGTACAAAAGAACTTACTGCAGTCTTTGCAGTATCCAGTGGCGTTAGCTGTAGTACAGTTGTCACAGGTGACCTGTTCAGGATCAGCTACTTTCTTCATTAGACTGTATATCTCTTTGAGGTTGTTCAGAGTGAATGCTACAGGAAAGGCTCCTGTTCCTTCTTCTAGTAACTCTGTACAATGACGACAAGTGGGACAAGAGAGGTAATAGGTCTCATTCTTCTTATCCAGAGGTAATCCCTCCAGACAGTGCTCACAGAATGAATGTAGACAAGGTAAAGTCTTAGGGTTGGTATAGTGGTCAAGACACACAGGACAGGTGAGCTGTTCCTCCAGTTTGAGGAGACCAGGAGAAGAAGATGAAGATGGTTTGGTTGCCATTTCAAGAAAAGAATAAAATTATGTAGGTAAAGCAAGAACAAAAAATGAAGAGAGATAAAGGTAGAAGACGGTAAATGAAGATAGAGCAAGGAACGATAAGAAAATGAAGAAGTTGGAATGAATGAGAATGAGAGTAGCCTGGGGAAAGATAGCCCTGATGACCTCTTGGAATATTCTATAGTCTCGTGACTACAGGAAGTTATGATAGTATATTCCTTTATTATAATAACCAGTAGTAAAGGTGAATTTCTTTAGAAAATAAATGTATTACTCTCAAAACCAAATATTGTAAATTAAATATCTAAACATAAAAATTAAAAAA